TACTAACCTTTGGGATTGCAAAGCCTAAATGACACATAATTTGTGGAATGCCCATTACAGTCTGCTTATGACGTGGTAGTTGGTGAACAGCATTAGTTCTCCTTCTTACCGAGAACACTTCTTATTGTTGGGCTTCTTAAGGAGAGGGAAATGGAACCCAGGGAGTTTGGGATGCCTGAATTCCAGAGGGGCTCATTTTAGGTCTCTTGTCCCTAAGAGGACCCTCATTTACTCTTTCAGTGACTCTCACTTAACTTTTTACCCAGGGACACCTGGAAATGCATTTTCTCAGTAAGTTTCACACAGGTTGAGTTTGTTGTTGTTGTTTTGTTTTGTATTGGTACCTGGGATTGAAGCCAGGGATATTTAACCACTGAGCCACATCTCCAGTCCTTTTTTATATTTTATTTTGAGACAAGGTCTCACTGAGTTGCTTAGAGCCTCACTAAGTTGCTGAGGCTGGCTTTGAACTTGTGATCCATCTGCTTCAGCTTCCTGGGCCACTGGGATTGCCACCTCATCTGGCTCAGGTTGAGCTTTTGCAGTTCCAGGGAATTTATGGAAGAGCTAGAGAATGCCTGGCCTCATGAGACCCATTGTTTCATTCGAATGTTGACTCATGACCAGGAGTTGAGATCCAGTCACTGACCTTTGACATTCAGTGCAATCGTTTTTAATAAGAATTCACTGAATAGTTTCCACAGTTAATATACTCAGCATTAAAATTTGTAAACAATTTAGAATCAATTAGTTATTTTTAAAAGCTTTTTCAGCATACTGTCTCTTGAAAATGATTCCTATTTTAAATATTCAAAAGCATCTCATTTTCTAAAATAGGAGCCAAGTGTGAATATAAAGGAGAATTCATTTCCTGTTCTTCAAGGGAAGATTGACTTGCTCATGGGCTGCCTGGTCACTTTTCCTGCCCATTTTCAGCAGTTGTAGTGCACATTCATTTGAACCTAGCAAGAGAAGAGAACAGGAAACCATAGTTGTAAGAATCTTTAGCAGTGCCATGGAGAAGACAGGTGTATGTGTTTGTCCCACAGTGAGACTTAGCAACGGTTCTCATATCATGGTCTGTGCAAAGGTAGCATTCCAAGGCTCCGGTCTCCAACTGAATTAGAGGACCCAATAAAATTTTTTATTATCAAACCAGTTTGGGGACCACTACATTCTGTGGTATTTTTGTACTTTTGAGGAATCTTATTACACATTAGCAGATTGAATCGAATCTAAGGAGTCCTGTGAGACTGGGTTTGTCCCTACATTTTTCAAATGTATTTCAAAATGGAGCCTCTTTATTGGTAGAAATTCTATTTGTGAATCACAAGATCTGTATTAGATACTGTCAAGCCAGGTCCTCTGAGAAAAGCAGATGCCAAGACAAGCATTAGTGTGCCAGAGATTTATTCGGGAAAATATTGGAAGGATCAACTGCAAGAAGGGAGACTCAGCAAGTCTTCAGACCATGATGCAGGTCTGACAGTTATGATGGACAGGAGGCTGGAAGGGGAACTTGGTGGGGGGAATCTCCTCAGATAGTTTCCTGTAGGTGGATGGAGAGACTTATGTCCCAAGTCACCCATTAGAGGAGTCCTGTGTCTCACAGGAAGGGGCTCGAATTGTTTGCTTGCTATGGTTAGTCATTAGCTGGGAGTAGCCCACTGAAGTGTGGCCTCAGTGTGACACAGGGGTGGCCTGGAGACACTGTAGCTGGGGCTGTCAGTTAGTTCTTCTCCCAGAGCTGGAGAGCTGAGCACACATTCTCCTGGCCTCCACTGGTTCTTGTCAGACAGAGTAGTTCATTCAATGCTTCTAAGTCCCAAACAGTTGCTGTATTCACTGGGGGGACATGTCCTTGCTACCTCGTGTGGCTGTTTTGGCGCAACCACAAATGAAAACTCTCTGTACCCTAGAAAGCATTCTAGAAATATGGAGGATTGTCATTATGGGTGACTGAAGCCTTTTCAAGCGCATCAGCTGCTAGAAGCCATGTGCTCCTGGACCCCAAGACCTTGTCTTGTGCATCATTGTTGAGTTTTTCCCACCTCCCATGCAAGGTGCCGGGCCTCTAACAGGTACTCAGTAAATGTTTGTTGAATGATACAACTGTGCGCTCTCCAAGGAAACGGGCGGTGACTAAGGCTGTGTGTGGGTTCATGATGGGAGTCACTGAGATGTGTTCCCTCTGGCAGGAGGCAGAGAGCATGGGGGAGGGCCTTGTGTGGCTTCTGTCACTGTGATCTGCACTGTGTCTGGATCCCAAGTAGCAGCTTTGTGGTGAGGACGTTATTTTTTCCAAAGTGGGGGAGAGTCTCACAACCTCGCTTTATAATATGTTCTCTTTTGCTTTTTAAAAATAATTCTGAAGCTAATTGTGTTGATAATTCCCAAACCCTTCCCACCAAAGTTAATTTCCCAGAGCTGTGTACCTTCTTGACTGCTCTGAGTTTTTCCAGCTCATCTCTTCTCCCTTTGGGGGAGTTCTAGCGATGCTACATGGTTAAGGTGCAAAGAAAGCAAAGAAGGGAAGGTGATCGGTAGCTGGGTTTTCTCTCAGAGCCGAGTGTCACCCTTCTATTTGGTTCCAATTCCTGAAGACTGGCGTTTCCCCCCCCCCCTTCCTTATTTGTATATTTCTTGTATCAGCTCAGTGTTTTGGTCAATAAATACTTGTGGAATGACCCAAGGGATGAATTACATGTGTGTTGCATAAAATGCGTGCTGGGAATCATGGGGGATCTGATTCATGGCTAATGGTGAAAGTGAACACTAATGAAAAAAATCACACAAAAATAAAAATCACAAACTGAATGATGAGGAGGAGAAATCACTGGTCCTTGGAGAACTTAGAGCTGGGGACCTGCTGAGACGGGCTGTCCGAGAAGGCCTTCTGAGCATGTGATGTTAAGTGACCCTTGGAGGCTGGGGTGGTGGTACCCAGGCAGAGAGCCGCGTTGGGGCACGTGTACTTCAGACACAGAGTGGAGCATGTGCAGAGCCTGGACCAGGGTGTGTTCTGCTGTCGCTGAAGGAAGGTTGTGTGGCCCAAGCAGAGCGAGCCACGTTGTGGTCGTGGTGGAGACCACACAGAATGAAGCAGGGATGACTCTAGAGCATCGTCTGCTTGAAATTTCTCTAAGATCTGCTGCAAACAATCATTTATTTCTGACTATCTACCTTGCGGCCAGATGAGTCTCGAGGTCTGGGTATTATTCTAGAAAAAAAAAAGGGAAAAATAAACAATAAACTCTAGGAGGAGGATTTGAGGTGCTTTAGGTGGAGACTGCTGTGGGCCCCGGTGTCCTCGAGCTCTCTTAGGAGATGCCCCGGATCTTTCTTTGTGAATTTTGAGAACAGACCAGACAAGGGCAGGAGGCAGGAGGCTTCTTTGTTCTCTCGAGAGGGTCCTGGGTGAGGGGTCATCTGTGGCAGGGCCAGGTAGCTGAGGCTCAGAGCCCTCACCTGGTCAGTAATTGCTTCCCCATCTCTAACCTATGAGATTTGGGTGCAGCTATCCCGCACTGTCTGAGATTCTGACTGGGAGCAAATCTGCCATGACGGAAAGTGGGAGGAGGCATACTCTGGGACCTGAGCCACAGCCCCTTTCTCTGAGGTGCTTTTTACCAGCCACATGGCCTGGGTGGCCCAGGCTGCTCCTGAAGGGCCATCCCTGCATGGTCCTCCCCTGCGGGCCCCCTTCTTCTTGGGTGCTCAGCCCCTCAGTCACTCTTACCATTGGTGACCCACAGGCCTCCACCCCAGGACCCACTGTGAGGCCCTCTTCAGTCCCAGAAAGGCACCTGGTGGGGACAACCGGAGACATCTCTGTTTCCTTAGCAACATCAAGAAGAGCTGGGGGAACTGACAAGGTGGGGGGTGATGGTTCCCTAGGCTCTGGAGCCAATGGCCACAAACGTGGCAGAAATGTGTCCTCTCACAGTTCTGGAAAAGTCTGTAACATACGGGTAACTGTATAAGCTGCTGGCAGCACATCCTGTGAGGGCTCCAGGGGAGAATCCTTCCTGCCTCTTCCAGAATCTGGTGGCTCTAGTGTTCCTAGGCTTGTGGCTGTATCACTCCAGTCTCTATTTGCATGTTCACGTGACCTTCTCCTCTGTGTGGCTTCTCCTTCTATGGCTCTTACAAGGACACTTGTCTTTGGATTCAGGTCCCAGTAGGCAATTAATTCAGGGTGATCTCATCATGAGATCCTTAATTACATCTGCAAACACAGGTCCAGATGTGGATTTCTCTTTGGGGGACCACCACTCAACCCACTGCAGTGCTGATTCGAGAGGCATTTCACCTGCCCCAAGTGCCTTCTTTTTATTCTATCCATGTTTCTCCCTGATGAACTTGACCTCTTTGAAATGACATAAAACACAGGTCCCAGAGAAATGTCACGATGGGGAGGCAGCAGGCCGGGGAGCCTGAAAGCACAGGTTCCTGGGTCAGGCCATCTCAGTGCAAGGCCCAGCACTTACCAACCTCTCCAGGGCTCAGTCTGGTCATCTGCACATGGGGCACAGTAACAGTACCCACCTTTGAGGGCTGCTGAGGGGCTCAGATAGGATAATACTTCTAAAGGCAGCTTGGGCTGGCCCAGAATGAAGCACTGAAATGAACAGTGAAACTTATGACAGATGAGCAGGGTCCTGAAGAGGATCAAAACCTCAGTGTGATGGTTGGATGTGGCTGGACCCAGCCAGGGCCTGGGCACCTTCTGGAGCTAGGTCTTATTGAGATTTTCTTCCTTCCTTCTTCCTTCCTTGTGCTGGGGTCGAATCCAGGTCCAGGGCCTCACGTGTGCTAGGCAAGTGCTCTGCCACTGAGCTGCACCCCAGCCTTCTTTTGAGTCTCCATGTGCCTGTGGTTACCTGACTTGGGAGGAAACACGGTGCCCCTCCTCTCAGGCCCTCCTCTGAGCCTCTGTTTGCTGATTGGAGTCTTGGTCTCTGGCAGCCAAGAGCAATTTCAAACAGAGATAGAGAGCTGCCAGGCAGGCACACTCAGGAAGGGTACTTCCTGGGAGGCAACCCACCCTGTGGGTGGGGGCAGCCAGGTGCCTGGTACCCAGGTCACTGGGCTCCCGAGGGGATCTTTTCTCCTTCCAAGACAAGTGCTGGATACCTTTCCTCCTGCTGGGCTCAGCTCCACTGGTCTGGGAAGCGTGGGCAGTCCTGTGCCCACCCACGCCCTGCTGGTCAAGGTGAGGTCTGTTGCTGCTTCTCATTGCTGAACTCGGCCCTTCCTCTGCCACAGGCCAAGCTGTTGGAAACCCTTGGCCATGCTCCTCCTCTGCTTGTCCTTAGAGAGCTGGGCCACCGAGGATGAGGAAGCAAACAGCACAGAAAGACTGAGCTTGGGTGTCAGGCTGCTGTGTGGCTGAAGGTTGGTTCCTAAACTTCTCTGAGCGCAGGTTGAGTGCCCTGGATGGATATTTAGGAGGGAGCCTAGAGTGGAGATCTGGAGGGTCAGGCTTTGACTGCACCTCTGTTGTTTATGGCTGTGAGACCTCAGGTAACTCCAAACCTTCTGGACCTCAATTTCCTCTTCTGAAAGGGAGATTGAGCACCTCCCTTGGGTGGCCATGGGGAGGGTCCAGTGAAAACAACGTCTGCAGAGCTGGGAGCGCAGAGCACGGCCCCCTGTACCTGCTCAGTGAAGGGCAGCTACCACAACCATCCTGGAGCACTTTGAACAATGAGAATAAAATAAATGACTATATTCAATCAAATGTACACTAGACAACGGGTAACCGTATAAAGTCAATTTCAGTGTGGGCAAGAAGGCAAAGCATTTATGGAAGAGTAAGGAGGTACCCAGCTTGGCCAGTTTGTAGCTGGGTGACTCTGAGTAAGTGGTCCAACCTCTCTGAACCTTAGTTTTCTTGTCTTGAAGTAAGAATAATAGTAGCTATTTTCTTCACATTGTAAGGGCTTTACCTGTATACACACACATTCCTCAGTACTGTAGGAGGCGTACTATATGATATCCAATTTAAGATGAAGAAATGAAGCACAGAGAGGTTATGCAGTTTGCTCCAGGTCACGCAGAGGATAAGTGCTTGAGGCCAAAGTTAGACCCGAGCCTGTGTCTGAGCCAGTCTGCTGGGAATATTTGCCAGCCCCACTTCTCTCTCAGGGTTTCATACGTGGCAAAGTGCACAGAGGAGGGCAAGGCCCTGCATGACCAGGTCTGAGTCATGGCTTCATGCTTCTCCATGTCTCCTGTGTATGGCACACGCTGCTCTGTGAACGGGGATCTCCAGCAGGTGTGGAGAGTGGTGCTTTGCATTTCTGTAATATGGGATCTTCTTCCTATTTGGCTCCTGTCACAGACTGGGAACCATTTAGGTCTTCCCTCTTGTTTGTGCATTTGTGAGTCAATCAGCACTGGCAATAGCAAATCTTTTCTGAGTCCCCCGACGATAGGCATAACTTTGGACCCCTTCTCTTTGGTGTTTCCAAGATGAGCCTGGGAGGGACAGATCTGGGACACTCTGCATGATTGGGACGCAGTGCACTTTGACCCTGAGCTGAGGCTGACATTTCAAGGGTGGTTACTCCTGGAGAAGTCCATGGGAGTGTGAGAGCTTCCTCCTCCTATCCAAGAGGCTCAAATCCCAGCTCTGCCTCAGCAACTGAGAAACATTTGTTTCTGGGACCTTGCACATTTCCCTCAGAGGAATTCATTCAGGATGATGTGGTTCTACCGAGGCTCCCCCAAATGCCTGCTGAGGGATGTTGGCCTGCACGGGAGCTTCCTGTCCTTCTGTGCAGCACATCAGTGCAAAAGGGAGCAATCCATTTCTAGTGGGGATTTTTTTTTTTTCTTTTTGAGATCATTTCTGTTGCACGGATGGCTGGAAGCTGTTTGTGAGTAATTGCACTGGGTTTTGTCTTCCTAATTCAGGGTTTAACTGACTTAGAGAGGCTCATTCGACTGCTCTAATTAAAGTTTTTCCTCTTGGATTTCATCAGCTGGAGTGAAGTAGATTTTCCCACCTCTTGGTTGCATAAGTTATTAAGGAACTCACACATATCAAGTAGGTAGGCTCCTTTGCAGGTCATCTTTGAAAGACTTACAGGCATTAATTTCCAAAATCTAGTGAGTTTTGATTTTAACAGATTTGAATTTCCTTTTATGTTTTTTAAGAACATAGAGAAAAGTAATGAGGCTACCATTTTGAATTTGGGTGGAGCATATTATGTAATGCACAGGAATTCTGAAGTAAAATTCTGTGGAAAGAAAAAGGCAGTTTTTGAATGAATGGGATGTGAGATGCCTGTTCGCCCTTAGCCTGGCCTGGACTTGGAGAGGATGGCTGTGGCTTGCATCCTGACAGGTGCACACAGGGTAAGTGGGTGTGCAGAGGTCCCAGCCCCGCCCATAAGCTCATGTGTGAATTTGGGTTTGTTCCTTCTGTTCTCTGGGCTTCAGTTTCACCAATTGTCCAATGAATAAATGGGTCTTGATTGGTGGTCAAACATAAAAGACCTAAGTTTACTCAGTTGTTACTCCAATTCCTCAACACATAAAATAGCAAAAATGGACCCTCTCAGGTTGAAGGAGGTAGGAGGGGTGGTGGCCAGATCAGGCTACCTGTGCCCTTCTTGAGCTCCATTCTCTCCCTTATACCCCTGAACACTCAGGCACACCCCTAGACTTGAGATTGATAGACAGTTCCTCTCGGGTCATATATCTGGAACTTCATTTTCAACTTCTACCTTAGCTCACTCTCGTTTCTCTAGTCATTTTGCGAAAAGATAATGAGGAAATGACCCTATTATTTCATCTCCTCTTAATCAAAATTGCAAAATATTGTTATGATTCATTCTGATTTTTTTTTCTTGGAGAAACTAATAAAAAGCCTCATTTCCCCCCTGTTGAATGTTTTGGGGCTCTCTGTGGACATCAGCTCATAATGTTGAAAGGAGTTGAGTTCTTCATCACTGGAGACCATGACACTCCGGCTGGCTATTCTGAGAGTCTTATATATTTGACTAAATAAATACTTCATGAATTAGTCAATATTATGTTGCTACAACAAAATAGCTGAGACTAAGTAGATTTTAAAAATAGAGGTTTATTCTATGAATGCAGGTTTATTCACAGAGAACTCATGGTTCTAGAGGCCAGGAAGTCCAATACCAAGGTGTCAACATCTGGCGAGGGCCTACTTGCTGCATCATAACATGGCAGAGGGCATCATGTGGTAGGAGAGAGAAACACGCTAACTCAGATCTCTTTTCCTTGTCCTATAAACCACAAATGCCAACATAGGGGGTCCCACCTCATGACTTCATTTAATCCTAATTACCTCCCAGAAGCCTCACCTCCAAATACCATTAACATATGAATTTGGGCATCAAGTTTTCAACACATGAACTTTGAGAAACACATTCAAATCTTAGCAAGCACCATCATGTGCAAAGCACCTATCATGTACAAAGCACTCAGGTATCTCCCACACCTTGCTAACGAGGGGTGGAGACACACAGCAATATGGGAGAGGTTGGCCTGTTTAGGATGCAAATAAGTGATACTGTCTTTGCTTTCAAAGTAATTGCTTTAGGAAGTTAGGAGAAAGTTTAGCATATCTTTATGGAGGCATGACTTCTAGTTTCTTAAATTTCCCTGGGAGTGCAAAGAACAGATTTGATTTTAAAAGCCAAACAGACAAGATCAACCCGTTAGCACTTACAGATTTGGCTTTTGTTTTAAATTGCACTTCCTTTGAAAGGGAATTCTTCTTTGATAAAGGATGGTTCCAGGGCCTCATTAGCCTGTAATGTGCTGGTCTGTACTTGGAGGTGTAGCCACTGTTGTGCCAAGTCCACTGAGCCAGGAGGGGTTCACAGTCCCAGCCACACCCTGGACCAGCTCGGCCTGCCCCAGGACCAGTTAGTCTTGGTGTTGGGCACTGGGTACCAATCCAGAGTCCTCGTGGAGAATCCCCTTTGTTCCCACCACCACCCTGTTTTTTTTTTTTTTCTTTTCGGAGGGTGAGCTTCAGTCAGGGCCAAACAACCCATCAGAAGTATTTCTGATAACAGTGGACCTCAGAAGGTCCCTCCAAAGGTCCCTCGGCCTTTCCTCCAGGAAATACTCTTCCCCATGCAAATATGCCTTTCCTTCCCAGTCGGTCTCTGAGATCCTGTTCCCAAGGGCCTCTGGAGGCAGAATCTCAGTGGAGATGACAAAAGAGCCCCTTCCCCGAGACCCACTCGCCACGTAGCCGCAGAGCTGAGAGGCACTGGTCAAGGACCTCGGCCCAGAGGAGGACCTGCTGCCGGTGGCCCTGCCAGGCCCCACTAGGTGGAGAAGCCAGAGGCAACTTCCTGCTGGCACTTAGCCACAGTTCACCTGGGGAGTGCCCTGCCTGCCGTGATGACAGGGGAGTGGTGGAAGGTGTCAACGTCTCGAGGGAGTGTGGGGAGCAGGGAGGAGAAGACCAGGTGGCCTAAGCAGGGAGAGAATGAGACCCCGACAGAAGGCTGTCACGGCTCCCTAGCGTTCTTCTGATAAAATCCAAGTCCTCGGGTGGCTTGTTTCTGCGTGTTCTGCTCCCTGCCCCCTCTGGGCTCGGTGCTCTCCTGTCCTTCCCTCCACTCCTTAACTCCAGGCAGGCAGAGAGGGGACTTCTGTTCCACGGCCTGGGCTTTGCCTGCAGACCTCCATACTTGCTGTTCCGTCTTCCTCAAGTTCTGACAGCAGGGAGGGGATCCTCTGAAATGCCGCTCAGGGTGGCCTGGGAGGGTGTTACCAGGGCCTGCGGAGAGGAGAACAACCTGCTGAAGGTCCGAGTGGATCTCTTGCCGGACTTGGTGCCAGAGGGCGGAAACCTTCCAGAAGAGAGCTGGGTGCCATTTGGTGGCTGCCAACCTGAGATTCACCTAGTGCCTTTCAGACCTGCCGGCTGCTGCTGCTCCAAGGCTGCCTGTCCCTCTGCCTCTCTCACTCAACTTTTTGCAAAAGGGACTTCCTGTCTTTCCCTCTCACAACCTCAGGTAACCGCAGAAACCTTAGAGCATCCAACCAAAGCTACACTTGAACCACTATATACTTTGAAAAAACCGTGGCCTAAATAGTTACGTGCTTAGGAAGGAACTGGATTCTGCAGAGATATTCAAGATTGATGCATGTAAAGGCATGTTTAAGAACCCTTCCAGCTCTGAGATGCTGCAAACTTCCAGAAGACTGCAT